CAGGATAAGATGCTCAGAATGGACTGGAAGGCAGCAACTACTTGGTTATTCCTTTCTGTGTTTTAGTGTCTCCTTTGACTAGATTGGAGATGACTAAATGGGGATTTTTTTGGTATTTAGGCCATATACAGTTGTTACAAGTCACAGCTCTGGGGCACTGCTGTCCCAGGACTGCTGCTCTCTAATTCTGACATAGGTTGCCTGCAGCCACAAAATCTTTCCACAAGCTCTCTGTGTTTTTTAATCCCATGGCTCCTTGTGGCACAAAACAATGTCATCTCACTTTTGTCCTGAGTCTCTTCCCTATACGTAGCCCTAACAAGTCTTGGCAAAGGCAAGAGTGAAACAAAAGCAGGTAATTGAAGATTTAGCGAAATAAAGGGAATTTGCAAGGAAATTCTACCTCAAATGTTCTGTTAATATGACTGAGATATGTATTTCCTTGATTTATTGTTTTAACAAGGTCTGTTAGAGTGAAAAATCAATACAATTCAGCTTTCATGGTCCAAGACCCAAACTGGTTTAGGCACCCCCATTTCAGTGGTTGACCACAGTCCAGAGATATCTGGCCATCATATGCTCAGTCATCACATTTGGCCACCTTAATTTTCCTAGTTCAAGTGACAGCTCTGTCTAGGTAAACACAGCTTGAAAAACAGATCTGTAGAAACTCCAAAGACTGTAAAGCAAAGTATCACAGATTCACAGAATCACAGAATATACTGTGATTCTGTGAGTTGGAAGGGACCCCACAAGGATCATCCAGTCCAACCCTTGGCCCTGCACAGGCCCATCCCCAAGAGTCACACCCTGTGCCTGAGAGGATCATCCAAACCCTCCTGGAGCTCTGTCAACCTCGGTGCTCCCACTGCCCTGGGGAGCCTGGTCAGTGCCCAACCAGCCTCTGAGGGAAGAACCTTTTTCTAATATCCAACCTAAACCTCCCCTGACCACACAATAAGACTTTGTGGAGATAGGAGGAGGGAAAGATGGCAAATGAATGTAGTGAAGGAGATGAAGAGCTCTGCATCTGTCTACAAGTTAAAATATCCCCTTAGAATCAGACTTCCAGGTTATGTGCAGAAGTGTCATTCACACATTTGAATAGCTCACTATTTATCTCCATGGGAAATTGGACTGAAGTTTTGGGGCTTACTGAGATGTGCATCACTCTTGGGGTGCTCGCCCTGGCTCATGCAAACCTGTGGTTACTCTGTACAAACTGCTTTAAGTAACAAGGAAAGCTTCAAGTGGTTGGCAAATCCCAGACTTTCCACTGTTTTGACAAAGTTTAGGAGCAACTGTGGTTCTGTTCACACTTTTCAGGAAACTATGTAATATAGCATCTTCTACATGAATCCTGTTGTGTTAGTAGACAACAAAGTTTAAGTGCAAATTAACACTGAAGCTACAGCAAATAGAAGAATCACTTGAAGCCTTATTATTTGATGGTGGCACAATGTCCCTTCTGAGGGGACCCAAGAGACAGCCCCACACCAGGGCTTAGGATCTCCCCCAGAAATCTGCAGCAGGCACAGTCCTGCTCTGTGCCAGCTCAGTCCTGGCTGAGTCAGGGGAGGCCAGGAGTGCAGGGGCCCAGGGGAACACTGGGGGGGTGACCTGGACATGCAGGCCCTGGCCTGGAGTTGTGGGGCATCACTTTCTTCCCCTTCCTACAGAGCACGTTTGCTGCCTGCCAGCTTCCCCCAGCGTCCCCCAGCCTCCCCCCAGCCTGCTCCAGCCTGCTCCAGCCTCCCCCAGCTGGAGTTCAGCTGCTTCAACCCTGACTTCACATCTGTCTTCCCCTGAATTCCCCCTGGGGTTGTACAGGCAAAGTTTCTTTGTGTCCTTGCTTCTCTCTTTGTGTGCTGATGAGAACAGGGTGACCATTCTAACTATGCAAAGTACATTGTGCATAATTCATCAAGTGCCAGAGCTGAAAGCTCAGGCAAGTTCTTCTCTGTTACTATACAGAAACCAATAGCACTAGAAACAAGGGTTTTTTCACCTGGGGTTTGGATGGGATGCATTCCAATCCAGTTTGTGCTGTGTTGGTTTCTCTTCAAGATCTTTCACTGCACTGACCTTGATGTAAGCTCGTTCTTCTTTAGCCGTGCACACCATCCAGACACAGCTATGATGTGAATAGAAATCAATGATTATTTGCCTTTCTCACTAACCGTGCTTTCAGATACCAGCAGTCTTTTTATCTTTTAAATATACATTCCCAGCTGTTGAGTACTAGATATAATAAAATAATAGCTAATAAACTGTATAGTTTGCTTGCAATGCAGAGATATAATAGCCTGTCTGACATTTTTTAGAGCCAATATTTACCTTTATCACTGGTAAATGCCTCCTGAGACTCATTATTCATGTAATTCCCATTAAGAGGCAGTAGTAAAACAGCCTGTTGTCTTACAACACTTGTTGTTAAATACATTATGTTTAGTAATAAATACGTCAGCTTGTGCTACACCAGAGAATTATTATTATTTCTTATCTCTAGACATTTATAAATAAATGAATCGTTTATTTATAGACTGCTTTCCATTTACTCCTTGCAGTAGCCAGTTAAAACTACTTTTTTTTACGTACATGGTCATATTTCCTGATGCTTGCTTATTCCTTTTGAACCTAAGGTTGTAACACAATTAATATTCTTGGGTTTTTGTATCTTCTACTTTGCAATTAACTAAGGATGATAGGAAAAATAAAAGTTGTATTGAAAAACAAGTTATGTTAGTTTAGAATAATGTGGCAAAAATACTTCACAGAACTGAGTTACTTGAACGTCTAATTGTTATTCCTAGTGCCACTACTAAGGCCTAATATATGAACATAATAATTAACTTATGTCTCTAATTTGTCTGATCAGTGGCTCCATGCAGATCTGTGGAAACCCTCCATATAAATTTCAAGCTCTCTTATCTAAACAAGACAATGCTTTGCAGCAATATGAATATATCCTGGCATTCTTTGTCTCTTTCAAAGCCTTGACCCATGTTTCTGTGGCTTGACATTTAAGTATTTACAGAACTGTTCATGTGGGCACAAGAGGAAGATTTTTAACCTCATGCTCTGGTAGAATTCAGACTCAGAAAATTTTGTTAGCAGAACTTGCTGCACAATCTGATTATGTGTTTCTTCTTTTATTGCTTTTTAGCATGATCAGTATGCTTTTGAAAGTAATTCTGTACCTGGATAGAAATGGTGAGGTTTTCAAAAGCATCAGCCACCTGTTTAATTCTGCTCATATTCACTTGAAAGAGTTTCTGTTGTTTTATTAACTCATTTGCTTGGAGTGGACCAGTGCTGTCTAGGGGTTGAATGAAAGCACTTTAAGGTGAATTTTCTGGTTTACCAGTGCTTTATATAATCCATAATGACCTTTCTCTCCTGTCTTAGTAGTCTTAAAATTAATCTCAATTTTTTGTATTTTTTGGGAGTTGCAAGCCAAAAATCTGTCAGTTCAGAAACTGCTGAATGGAAGCAGACATTTTTGGCCCTGCCACCTTTGTTGGAAAAGAAAGCCTAGGTTCTGGTCAGAGATGAACATAAGCATTGATATCCAAGGACTCGGCGACCAGAACACAGCTCTGATATGTTCTTGGGAAGCTGTGAGTGAAGTCATGGCTGGAATCCTCTGGAACTGCAAAAATATTTGCCTTCTCTGGGAATCACTGTCTTTTGGGGGATGAGATGACATGGATGTAAGAGAAGTTACATGCAGGTGTGAAAATTCTGCCTTTGCAGCCATTAGATATCGTATGGGTGCATTTGATCCGCTCCTGATTCACAGTGTCCTCTGAAACTCTTGGAATGGGATGTCTTGCTCCAGTTCATTAATGTTTTCTTTGCCTTCCACAGACAAAGTAGGAGAGGATAGTCAGGAACAGGCTGGTAAAGGCCCTAATGACCCAAAGCCCCGTTTTACTTGGTCTAAATTAGCCCAGTTCCTACAAAACCAGGGCTGGTGAGGCAAGGTAGGGATGTCCATAGAAATGGAAACAAAACCCTATCAGGCCTTCAAAATGTTCACATTAATCTGCATATTATTTTGTTGTGCTCATGAGACTTAGCTGAGCATCATGTGTAGTTACAAAAATCCTTCACGTGGCCATATCCAAGCTGATGTTTGTTGTAAGGCTCCCACCCTGGTATTCCCTGAGAAATGCACCGGCACGTTTGAGAATGGTGTCTGTGGCCTCTTCAGGCCTCCCAAAGCTCCTCAGACAGGGAAAACATGAAAACAGAAGTTGAGTTTCATGTGGTTTTGTACAAAAATAAAATCAAAGCAAACTCTTGTCTAAAGTGACTCCTGAATTATTAAAATTAACAATTTAATAAAGAAAAAAAGATAGCCTCTTAATTTACTGGATTATGATTAATTGAAAAATGTTATTTTCTTTTATTAAATTTATGTCCCTACAGTAGATTATTATCCCTGATAATTGGCAGAGGATTTTACTGTGACCTCTATTGGCTTTTTCTCTGATTCAAAAGGTGCATTCATTTAAAAGATTCTTGGCTGAAATCCATTTTACTGCTTTTATAAGATATTTCACAAAAAAGTAATTTAAGAGAAAAATCTTTCTATTGTAGCTTTACTAAGCTTTATATTTGGTTTTAGACAGCCATAAAAGATTTTCTTCTGTTTAATTTGTTTCTGGAATTTTTCATATCCTTGCTGTAAATTTGTTGCATTAATAAATATCACTAAAATGGAGAGCAAGCTTACAAAGCACTTTTTAAAAGTGTGGCTCTGCTGCTACAGGCAGTAATGGAATAGGGCCTCCAAATATGTGGGGTTTTGAGTAATTTGCATTAATCCCACAGCAGCTGAATGACGTTTTTCCTGGGAGGCACTGTAGTCATCCAGCACCGAGCAGATGATCCATACATGAAAAATTAATATGTAACAAAGGCTGTGTGTGCTGGGCAGGCAACAGCAAATCACTGCTAAACTAATTTAGCTTAGGGCTGGTTCTGATCCTTAGGCTTGCACCTCTCGAGGCTGATCCAATCCTGCACATGTAAGGACACCTGGACAGGAATTCATTGCATCTGTTCACGTTCAAATGTCCTTGACTGGAGAAAGAGTTCAGTGAGTGCCTCTTCCCTCGTGTGACAGCACATGGGACAAGCTGTGCCCCGGGATGGCATGGGGGAAGCTGTGCCCTGGGACAAGCTGTGCCCCGGGATGGCATGGGAGAAGCTGTGCCCTGGGAGAAGCTGTGCCCTGGGATGGCCGAGGTGTCTCTGCAGGTTTTTGGGGGGCAGTGTCTGCAGTCTTTGGGTGAACCATGTGTAACAGCTCTGCTGCAAGCGCAAAATCTACTCCAGGCATCCTCTGGCACCCCAAAGCAGTTGAATCAATAAGTTCCTCAGCACTGGGAAGTCCCCCTGCCTGCCTGGATGGGCTGTGGCCAGAGAGGGAGAGCCTACGGAAACTTGGCCTTTCCAGGCTTTTCCCTCTCTTGTGTTGGACGCAGTCTGTGATCAGATGTAACGTGACAGCAGCAGCTTGACAAGCTGATAATACACTTCACTTGCAAAATTCATCTGCTAAGACTGCAAACACATTTTTATTTAAGCTATGTCATGTCTATGCATAGCACAAGGATTTTTTTTCCTGTGGATCTGCTATAGAAAGTCTGAGAAGATCTAGTGTTTTTATCTTGTAAAGTATGACTGATATTTTTGCAGCAGAAAAAGTTTGACTTTCCCTGGTCACACTAATTTGTTTGGACAATCATTCAGATACAAAGCAGAGGCTGAAAGAGGTTATTACTTGCTCCCTGAAGCATTTGTGCCCCATTTTCTAGCCATTAGGGTGTTTCATAAGCTGTTATTATTTACCATATTGATGAAAAATAGAAGGAGATAGAGAGAAAGAAAATCAGTTTTTTTCAGGACTTAAAGTCCAAGAGTCAGAATTTTATTGAGAAGTCATTGATGGTGTAAAAAAGGTTCTTTGTCATTAAGGAAATCCTGGAGTAGCTTCTGGAGATGATCCAAGAAAAACTGAAGGAGCTTCTATTGGTGTATTCTCAGAACAAACACAGAACTGCCATGTCAGGGTGTCATGCTGGACTGACTGGGGGCTGTGAATCTGTCATCTGATGAGGCTCTTCTTCCACACTGGGAACCTGAATCGTGCTATGGTTTTCTCTGAGTCAAATCCTGTTGCATCTAGACATTTTCACTCATTTTACTCGAGTGAAATTCTACCTAAAAATGTCTGAGCAGTGACAAAGAAGATGTGAGAATCCCCATGTATGTTCTGCATTTGGCACGTGAACATGGGAGGTGGGTGTTCAAACAGTGTCACTCGACACTTTCTGTACCACAATCCTCCAGGAAAGGCTGAGAGGGTTTTCATAGGGATTCAGCTCCACGCAGTTAGTGGTGGGAAGCAAGGAACGGGGATTCACATGGCATTATTCTCATTCAAAATAGAGGAAAGCATAATAAGTTAATAGAATCTGAGTGCTTCCATTCTTTCCTTCCATTTTGAAGAATCCTTCTGTAGGACTCGTGTTTAAGAACACTGTGAATATAGTTATATACAAATACACAATTATATCAGCCTTTTGGGTACTCTAAAGCTGTATGGCTGCAATTTCTTGTCTCTCCCTACATAAAAGCACAAGCCTTGCTTTCCAGGATCTTTTTCAAGAAAATCTGAGGACTGAATACACTGGAATGACTTTTCCTCTCTCTCTTTTTCTATGTGGGAAAGAACAAAGAATTGAGAATTAAAATTTTCAAGCCAGACATATATATATATATATATTTGTTTGTTGGAACGCTATCCCTACAACTTACTAAGTGAAATATTAATTTTGTACAGCTTGAGGTTCTTTTCTAACAGTCTTTCTTAGATCTGTGTATTTATTTAAACAGATCTCTAACAAATACCCATACTTTTCCTCTCAAGTTCTGGTTTGTCTGCTATTTTATCTGGGAGGAAATGCATTGTATTTTGTTCCTACCCTATATCGTATTTCATGTTGTGGTACAATTGTTCATCTGCTTTACTGGTTATATATTGTACAGACTAAACTGTGTTTTCTGAATGTCAAATCAGATTTGGGAAACATTCCTGTTATATTTGTCCCTGGGAAACACTGGACAGAAAAATCACATCTATTAAAACTGCATTCATTACCAAATCCACAGAACCTAAGTTTTTGAATTAATAGCAGTTAATCAAACAATGCATCATAAAAAAGCGGGAACTAAAGAAAACCAAAGTAAAACATTCACTTTCATTATTGAACATTTTTAGCTTTATTATTATAATAGAATTACAGTCTGACATAAAATAAAGAGCTTTTGCTAAACTCTGTAAAGAAATACATGCTTCTGCCATAAACAACCTCTATTAGATTTAGGTTTTATTGCCACATCACTGCACTGAGGTGCAATAAACATTCAATGTCTTCTTTTTAAAATTATCTTAGGAGTAAACAGAAACTGTCCTCTATAAGAGTGTATCATTATTTTCAAGGAAGACTTACTATTATTACATGGTTTAGCAAAGCATTGTAAAAAAGCTACATAGAGAATACCTTGTCTTTGATAAACTGTGCAGTCAAGTTTATACAGTGTAATACTATTGGCATAGACTAACTAAGAGGTGATATAATGCAATCATTGCATAGCAAAAAGCAGACTAGGTAAGTAATATTCACATCTAATGTGCAAAATGCAGACCAAAAGGTAGCTATGAATTGCTAGAAAGATAAAATGCCCTAAATGAACACACTAGTTTAACGCCAAAAATAACAAGATAAACAAGTACACAGAAGTTAAAGAGCCATAGTTTATTTTTTTCTATACATATATCTACACATGATATCAGAGATGAAACATCCCCTTTTAATAAGCTGCAATCATATAACTTATCAAGTTTAGACAGGACTAAATGTTAGACAATGAAGCATTATTAAAAAAAACAACTTCTCTAAATAAAACATTAATTGTTTCCTTTTGTAGATAGAGGATGTCAACTTTCTGATTTATTGAGAAAGAGTTTAGAAAACTGATTGTGAAACTTGACTCTCAGTAGCTGTTTCTCTGGAGGCTCATGTAGCACTGTTTCAAAATCCATTTAATACCATGTATTACACTTATTTAATTGATGCTTCTTGAAAATATCCACCATTCTTCCCATCTTTTGATTTCTAAGAATCAGCAGTAATGATTCTGACTAGAATTGTTTTAAAGGGAGCACAATACCTGCAAAATGGACATCTTGTATTTGAAGCCCTTACATATTGTTCCTACAAATATATTGCTACAGTAAAAATGAAATGTAGTAAGTTTACTCAATAAAATCTATTTTCCTGTACATTCTTTTATGTATGCTTTCTTTGTATTTAATGCTACATATATTACATCTCTTATTGTAACAGTTATGTTTCAGCAAATATAGCAGTAATATACAGATGAACTTCTGTCTTCACAAATATTTCACCATTTTACCTACCAAATATAATCCCATACTTTAGTGTTTATGCATGACCTGAGCAGACCAGTCGTTAATCTAATAGTATACGTTGGATGACATTGTCAAATTGCAAGCTACTGTACACTTAACCACTTTACAAATGGAATTAATTCCAAGCACTTTCTGCTTATTAATTTTTTTAGGCTTTCCAGTACCACTGATTTATTTTTTCCTCTAATTCAGGCTCTAAATATGTTTTATTGAGCATTTAACAACATATTAAGAGCTAAGAGGTGAATCCTACACAATGTTTTAAGAACACAACTTTAAAAAAGTAAAAAATGTACAATCTCATGCTGCATATTTACAGATATTATTTAAATACTATATTTTATCTTTCTGCTATTCATAAATCTCAGTCTAAAGCTTCTTTTAATGTATCATTTTATAAAAGAATACATTCAACATATCTAGAGCTTGCAAAAATTGTTGTTTTGTTGTTTGTTTTTTTTAAAACTCTCTAAAATATAATGATGAGTAAAAGCTATCTTTAAAGCATCCAGGAATTGTTTGGATTACGCAGGTGATAGAGGGAATTTGGATCTGCACTCGGGTGTACAACTGGTTTTAAATCTAGTCTAGTGACAACTTAATGCTTGGAACGAGACTGCACTGAGAGCAGATGAAAGCCTTTGTTACCACTGGATCTCATGTGCTGTACAGGGGACAAACTGTACCCAGAGGGAGTAGATTTCCTTTCTCATTAAAGACCATTTAATATTATAAGTCAGGTAGTTTGCAACACAGAAGAGAAAAGGGATTAGGAAAATAACATCTTATGGGATTCAGCAAATGGAAAGTTTTACAACCTTGAAAAGATTATGAACAGTGGTTGAATAAATGGTACAGTCTAGTATGTGCATCAGGAATGTCATAAAGAATATTTCCCCCCTCCTACAATTCTCTGAATAAAAATATCTTTTTCCCATACATATACAATTCCTTTTGGGGACATTCAGTACTAAGCTGGCAAGAAATGGTTTCTTTCCGCCCCCCCCATTACACTACAGCTCACTCTTTTCCATTTTCAGAATTACTTTTCCAAAGCTTATATTCTTCTCTCCCTCACACACAGTTTTTTTAAATATATAGATATATTTTTACTTTTTGCTAAATAAAGAAACCTTTATTTTCTTAAAGACAGAGGCAATGAAGCAAATGGGAATTACTGTATGTGAAAAAGGGAAGCAACTCCCCGAGCAAAAGACAAAACAGAACTATAGGAATAAATGAGGTTATTGATGTGGAGTTTGAACCTTTAGCTGGGGCTCTCTGTTTAAATAGGTAGCCCAGTAGACTAAGTTAAAGATTCCAAAAAGCAGTGGGAAGGCTATTCTTGAGAGTCGGTCAATTTTACTGACGCTGTTAAAAGTTTTCTTGGGTTCTGCAGGTTTTGTTTCTGGCTTAACTTCTTTGGGCTCAATGGTTGCACTTTTAGCAATGGTTGCCAGCCCAGGGTCCCTTGCAATGTTAGGGGTGTAGCTCGTAGCTGCAGCTGTGTATGTGTTGTTTTTCTTAATGAGAGGATCCTTCACTTTCTTTGGCTGAAAAAAGAAGAAAGTGTTTTATTCTCGCTATCTTCTCAATAGATACAATTATGAAAAAGCACTATAACATTTTGCAATTAATCCAGTTCATGCCACAAAATGTAATAAGCTGTAAGAGAAAAGTTAGCTCTGGATACATGACTCATGCAAAATATTTAGGTGACAACAAAGACAAAATCATCCATTTGTGTTATGTGTGTTAGTTAAACCAAATTAGATCATGGATAAACTTTAATGAGAACTGATAGCTTTAATGGTAATTAGCAGTGACACACCACTCATAGTTCAGTATTTCCCTAATCAACTGTGCTTCTTGACCAGAACAAAACTTTACAAAATACAAAAATTCTTAATGTAGCTTTCCAATATTAAGAGAAATAATGAGATGAGTGCTGACGCAATTCATACATAAAAATACACAATAAATTATCATGTAACCATGCACTAAAGAGAGGATTATTTAACAAAATGCAAAGCTGCCAGTATTCTACTCACTAATGGTTTCCACCAAAGATACATGCATTATGGATTGGGAACTTCATGTTCTTGTTTGAGTGTTACAGTTGGATCATAGTGGCTGAAATGCCATTCCATATACAAGGACTGAAATGACTATATGATTTTTGCATCCAGCTACTTATATTGCTAAAGCAAGAATGTATTGAATATCTTTTAGTGGAGAAGAATTTATTGCACTTATTTGAATCTATTTTCCCCTGAATTCTTGTGTTTTCTAGTATTCTACTTCTGGGATCGAGTTGTAGGAAAAAATTTAAATTTTGCCATCTGGGTATACCAGTGGCATTCAACTGTCCCAGTTGCAAACAGACCAAAGCTTTCCTCCAGCCACTGCCCAAGGAGAAACACAGAAGAGAGATGTAGTGGGTTGTTAAGGAGGTGTAAAGAAAAGTATCACTTTGCTCCAGGTTCCTTCCATTAGGAGAAAAAAAAAACCAACCAAACAAACAACAAAACACAGATAACAAAAAAATCCCCAGAGCTTAAAAATCTTTAGACAGTATTTGCCACAAAAAGAATAGGCAAATGTTATCCATTGTATCCTCTTAGAAGGGGGGAATAAATATGATCAAAGAGAACATAGCAGAATGGGATCTATTTTGTCATTTCACCATACAGCAAATAGAATTCCCTGTTTTCAGGAAGCAGTTGTCCCATGGAGGGCGACTCCCAGTAGCAGAGTTTTGCTAAAACATTCTTGTTGAAGAGGTGAAGGTTTCAGGGAGCAGCCAGGCTCCTGTGGGATGCTTGGGAGCACGAAGAGAAGCTGCCAAAGCATCCAGGCCCAGCAAAGCATGGCTTGGAGCCCCACCCGGGCAGGAGGAGAAGGCTCAAATGTGAAATTTCTGCTACTCAATAAGGAAAGGGATTCACCTAATGATTCTGATGTAGATGTTCATTTGATGGCAATAAAATTCTTAGCTGGAGGCTAAGAAAAAGGTTCAAATTTTCTTAGAATATTTCTGTTGAATAGGAGGAACAAACAGGTTGAAAAAAATACTCAGAGAATAAAAAAGGCAACGTGAGAAAGCTTTTTTTTTTAATGTAGTTGTCTGTCCATTTTTTATCTCCCAAGTGGGCAGGCTGCTACCAGGCTTGCTGAGCACGAAGCCAGCCCGCTTTGCTCCTCAGTCGGATATTCGGATGAGCAGCAATAAATGCAGCAGGCAAAGAGCTGCTTCACAGGAGCCTCAGAGGAAACCCCTTCTATGGATTAAAATGTCACCCGAAATCTGAGCCACAGAAAACCCTGAACCAGTCTGGATCTTAGTATTTTATCTAAAATCCAACTTCCTGAAAAAGCAATATGCCAGCTAATTGGAGCTCTGAATTTGATTAAGCTGTGACACTCCACTCACAGGGCTCCTGCCTCGCCCGCCTTCCCTCAGGGCTGCAGGCAGGGCACACCACCAGCACCAGGACATCTTGGCTGGCTTCAACAGACACAGAAACCCCCTTACCTACTCAGGAGTGCAAAGCCATAAATCTTCCAGTATCTTAAACAGTGGTTATTGGTGTGGGATTTTTTTGAAAATGTAATTTTCTTTGAAACAAATGAAATGACTAATTATCTAACTATGTTACAAGGGAGCATATATTAGCAAGGCAATATTTAATATTTAAGGATTAAGTTCTATTAATACAGTTCATTTTTTATCAAAAATGTCATGAAGACAGAGCAAAGAATCAAAAAATTATTTTCAATGAAAGTATCATCAGTAACTGAAAACTTAATATTCACCAGCAGTTGTGCAGCTCATTATTTTGTTTTCCTACTTCATTCATTTGTTCTACAATATTTTTGTATTAGTTCACATTGTATAAATGTCCCAGTATAATTTCTGTTTATTTCACTGACTTATGCAACTAAAAACGCATACATATATATATGAATATATTCCTGAATTAAAAACATATCTTTGCGCACTGATGACTGATGACATATATCTGCTCCTCCAAATATTTATTCTGCTGATTATCTAGTTTATGACTGTTCAGGATAGCCAATTCAGCAAGTTAAAAAAACAAACCAAATGAGCTTACTCACAGAAGCAGCTGACATGGCAACTCATAGAAGATGGGAAACTTATCTTTGATTCCCTAAATGTTCCTCAACAAGTTCTCCATGCATCTGTGGTTAACAGAGTAGGTCTGATCCCAGACCAAAACCAAAGGGAATCAGTGAGATGTTTCTCTAGTGCTTTCAGGGAGGTACAGGATTGCACACCCCAACACAGCTGTCAGTGCCTCCCCCAAACAAATCAATTTTTCCTATAGACCAGGAAAGGAAGAAAAAAACCCTGTGGTGATTTATTTGGTCCTAATGACAGAACAGCCCTCCTGAAATTCATGTTTGGGAGCACTGTACCATGGGAATTGTCAAAAACACAGCCACAGAATTTTTTGCCTACATTTATACTGTATTATTAGTATATTATACTAACATATAGTATATATGTATATATATACTATATATAGTATATTTATACTATATTATCCACATTTTCTCTTGTTTAAACAGAAAAAAATCATTGCCTTCCCTTAAATAATACACATTCATCTTTTCCACTGAGTTGCACAAGTCAAAACCTCAGTGGAATATTTCACTATTGATAGCATGCAGTGTCAGCCGGTATGGCAGAAGTAGTATTAAGATGCTCAACGTCTAAGTAATTTTTGTGTAGAAACGCTGCATGTGAACACAAGAGGAAATGCTTTTGGAGTAATGACTTACTATTCTAAGTAATAAGAATTTCTAACGGGCTAAACCCCCCGCCCTCTGTGCCCAGGCCCCGTGTGCCCTGTTGGGCTGGGTAAGTGGCGTTACCTTCTCGGGGACGACGCTCTTGCCGTCCCAGGCGTAGCCCCTCTTGGTGAAGTAGTTGACGGTGGCGAACTCGATGAGCGCCGAGAAGACGAAGGCGTAGCAGACGGCGATGAACCAGTCCATGGCCGTGGCATAGGCCACCTTGGGCAGCGAGTTCCTGGCGCTGATGCTCAGCGTGGTCATGGTCAGCACGGTGGTCACTCCTGCAAAGCAAACCGGGGCGGTGGCTTTAGGGCCAGCAGCTGGATTTTGGCCTTCATTTCTCACAGATGGAAAAGCCTTTTCTACGCCTCCGATTCTTATAAACCTCCCCATCTGGGTTCAGTTGGTAATTGAGGATAGCAGATTTCAAGTTCTGTGGAAGTTGCAGGATCTTCAAAACATTTTTTATACCTTTATCCTTTACATTGTTGTAATGGAATATTATTTTTAAAGTTGGAATGGAAATAATGTCATGGGTTGTGGAATGGATACTACTTTACACTTCCTGGTATTTGAAGATTCATAGTCACTGTTCTTTACTCGTGCCCTGCAAATTGTCCTATGGGTGTAACAATTTAACATCTTTAGTTCTTTCTTGCAACAGTTTCAAGATACTGAGAAAACTAAAATACTCGTCGTTTCATTCCGATTATTTGGTATAAGCTCCTTCAAAGGTATACTCAAAGGGCACTAAGATTTATGTGTTATTACATTTACTTGAATTGATGGTTTTACAGATTTCTGTCCCTTTATTCACCGATGCCCAGAAAACAGCAAACATTTTACGTAGGAACAATGACAGTGTAATTTGCTTTTCTGATATCAGAACTTCTCACTGCTAAATCTTGCCCCTTACCTGAGAGAGAACCAGGACTGTACTGAACTCACTCTGCCTGCAGCTGCTTAAAAAATGAATCTCCAAGTGCATGTCAGGCCTTTACATCAAATCACATGTCCACAAGTTACCTTGACAACTGCACTGTCATGGATTGAATGTGTCTGGTGAGTTCATCTTCGCTGCACTGCCAGTGAAAATGAGCAGTGGCTAAAATAGGCCAGATAATGAACAACGTATTTACATGGGAGTGTGAAGGGCTTGAATTATTACTGCCTAATGAGGAAGCAATTCCTCTTCCCTGAGAGACAAATCTTGTCTTTGACTCATTACGAGTGAGCTTATGTTTCTCTTACACAGTAGCAAAACAGGATTTATAACTTTTATTATCTGCGGTACTAAGTGGACTTAAAAGATGAAAGTTGTGCTTCTGTATGTGTATGTATTCATGCAACATGTTCTGAGACTTTGTTTCACTGCCATCATGAAATGAAAAAGCTCTCTTGATACATAGCGATGGAGCTAACACAAGACTATTTACTAAATAACTGTCTTCTAAAAGGAAAACTGAGAAATGTGTGGGTTCTTGAGTCTGTGAAGATGGCACTTTGAGCACTGCAGTATTATATGTTACTCATTGAGACTAGGAAATTCTGTTCTCCATCTAGTGACAATGAAGCATTCCAAACTGATGATCAGACACTTCTTTTTAAATGGTATGTGCAAAAACAGGTGAAATAGTTACAATTTCAATAGCTTTGACTACAGAGACCCATAAAAGTCCCTACTAGAGCAGTTCTCAGTCAAGCTGATGCTAAAAATTCAGAACTAATTTTAGTTACTAATTTAAACAATATTATGTAAATCAAATTTAATATGCTGTAGTCTAAACCATTGTCCTGTAAATGCACCTCTCAACAGAAAGCCTCTGCTTGGTTCATGAGGTCTAAGGCTATGCAAGTTGTGACTGATTTCCAGAGGCATTAGGAAGCTAAAGCACAGCTGTGAAGAGTGCCAGGAAAGGTCAGTAAGATAGCTCTGCATTTCTCAGCAGTGAGTCTCTGGGGAAATGGGGAGAGATTCTCTTGGGCAAAGCCCAAAGCATCCTGGCCTGCAATGCCCTGAGGCAGGGAAACAAGTGTAAAAGCCAGTTTGGCTGTGTGTTCTTCCACCTCCTCCTGCCAAAGGTGTTCAGCTGTCCCATCTGAATATCACCAAAAAGATTAGGTCACATAGCTGATATCTCAGGTTCTAGTTTTCCTAAATAAAGATTTGTTACACCTGTTTGCTTTGGTTTTTTAGTTGTTTTTGTTTGTTTGTTTGTTTGTTTGGGGGTTTTTTTGCCTTTTTTTTTTTCTCATTTGATATGTACTTGACATGGATTAATCTCTCCAAAGAATATGCAAGTTATTTGTTTCTAATTTAAGATAAGCATTTGCAAGCAGTGGTTAAACTCTAGGGACCAGCTGTATACACTGAGAGTCCTTTAGATTGCTTCCTCACTGTATTTGTTGTGTGCATCTATTCACTACTATAAGCACAATAAATTGTTGCTGATCTCAACAGGAGATCTTTAGCAGCAGCCTGCAAAAGGGATTATGAAAAAAAAATTTTAAGATAAAAATTTTCAATGGCCCTAAGGATGTCAAATGACCAATACCCATGGGATTAAAGCCTTTCTGATAATCCCCTCATGAATGTCACTGCCATTGTCAGAAATGTTTTATTCATATTCTGGTTGTTTTGGAAAATTGAAGCAGTAATAAACTGAGCTATTTTCAAGTCTCTTCTTACAATCAGTTTTAAAGGTTTGGATGTACATCCTTGCAATGGAACATCTTAACTCCTGTGTACTGCACTGTGGCCAAGCTCATGCTGTTCTCCAACATCATATTACACGAGAAGTTAAGAAGTTTTACCATAAAACTTCTTAAATCTATTTGCCTCATGATTGCCAGGCAGTTTATAGGTCTTGCTTACCAAACACTGTTCTTGCTGGAACAGATTCTCTGTTAAGCCAGAAGGACACCTGTGACAGAATCACTGTCATGATGCATGGCAGGTAAGTCTGGATGACAAAATAGCCAATCTTCCTCTTCAAATGAAAATGTGTAGTCATAACAACATATTCTCCTAAAATCAAGAAAAACAGGGACATTAAAGTTTTTATAAATATACAAATGAGAGAGCTTTATAGGAAGTAATTTTTCAATATATTCATCCCTTTTATAAAAAAAGTCCTCAGATCAAACTGGGTCAGCTCTGAAGAAAACATTTAGTAAACCTGGTTCTGAAGTTCGACTAATAATACAAAACTAGACTGTTCTGGGAAATGCTAATTAAATTTACATATTTTCATCTGTGCTGAGTAGTGAATGAATGTCTGCATTACCTGGTGGCTGCTCAGAGCTCTTGTGAAAGGTCTTGTTCCATTAGAAGATGGAAAACCATCACAGTAAACCCGTGTAAACATCATCTGAAGACTAAATCAAGACAGGCTCCCAAAAGTGTTTCAGTGGGGCCAGGCTTAAGATGTAATTGTTGATGCAACTGTGTCTGCATTACCACTGTGGGTGCTTTATGTGCTATGAAGATGGAATGTCCCTGTTCTGCTAATTTAGTACTTCAGTAAATGATTATTCTCTCCTGAAGTAAATGACTAATGCAAGAAAAACACAGAATCTATTCATTAGCACTAGTGCTTTGGGTGCTACAAAAATATATGAGCAGGGTATTCTAATTGCAGTGGAAAGGAATGGTATTTTTATATATATATAGATGAATGAATATATTTTATTAATACATTTAATAATATCAACTACAGATTAATATTGTAATATATCAATTTATGTAATTCTATGAACCTTTCTTGCCAGAGCAGAGCAAATACTGCTCATTTTCTGATCATTATTTACATAACTGAAAATGGGTTTGGAAAAACAATATATTTTCAAAAAGATTGAAAAACATATTGTTGTGATTGAGTCTTATTATGCAGTAAACATTATCTTAGGAATGAAACAAGTAGACATGTAACTGAATGGAAACTTCTGTCTAGATTAGAGATGACATGAAATTACTGTAGTTCTATTTTAAAATGTAGGCAGCTGGAAAGAGAAAGCTCTTGTACAGGAAAAGCTTAAACTGTGATTGAAAAACTATGTCTAGACATTGAGTGCTTATGCACCGAGCATGTCAAATGCCCATTGCTTTAATGCAGGGTCTAGAAGAACATTCATTTGAACAATCTTGCTCAACGTATAACCCCAAGGAAAGCTTATTTATAAGATGTGACAATACTCCTGCTATGTTTCAATATAAAACACAGTAGCAAAGGGGGAAAAGGGAATAAATTTTAAATTGAGAGGTAAAGCAAAGCATATACAATGAATTTTTTTTTTTTTTTTTCAAAAATAGGAGTGACAGAAGTAGTATAGTGGGCATTATTACTTGAATTTTGCTCACCTGTCTTTAACTTTCACTGAAACAACCTTCTTCTCCTCTGTCCCTGAGATTATGATCTTATGAAAGGTGCCAGTCTTGGCTAGAAGAGCTAATAATTTAATTTTATTGACTCAAATATGCTGTGGGAAGCTATTTTAATGCAATCAGGTATAGAATGTGCACAATGGTATGTCAGAGTTAATTCAGTGATTGGAGATGGCAAGCAAAGAATACAGAGCGAACACACCACTGTACTCTGGAGCTTTATTTAGCTGCTTAAATTATCAAAGTATTTTTAACCTCTGGAAAATGAGAACAAGATCCAAAGCATAAAGGCAATTAAAAAGCCAGGGATTACTCTCATCTGTTAAGCACTGCAGCAGGTCAGAGCTGGAAGTCAGCTAAAGGTAATGCCATGAGGAC